AACGCAAGAGTGTAATTTTCAAGACCAGGTCCTAAAAGGCATTGCATCTTTTTCCTTGCTTTGTTCTTTTGGATCACTGGCTCTGACGGAAGTTAGCTACCATGTCATGAAGAGACTTAAGCAGCCCTGTGGGAAGCCCATGTAGTGAGGAAATAGGATTCCTTCCAACAACCAATGAGGAACTGAGGCCTCCTGTCAATAGCTTTGTGAGTGAGCCATCTGAGAAATGGATCCTCCAGCCCAGTCAAACATTCAGATGACTGCAGCCCCAGCTGACATATTGACTGCAATTTTATGAGAGTCTCTGAGTCAGACCCAGTTAAGCCACTCTGAATTCCTGGATGCATAGAAACCGTGAGATTAATACATATGATTTTAAGATGGTAAGTTTTGAGATAATTTGTTAGTAGCAACATACAACTAATATACTGGGTAAGAGATTAGATAGATACTAAAAAAGTGATGTAGTTTCCACTTTAAATAGAATAGCTAGGGAAGACCTCTGTGAGGATGTGGCATTTGAGCAGAGACTGAAAGAAGGGAGGAAGCATGCCCTGTGGCTACCTAAGGATAGAACATATAAGACCCAGGGAATGGCAAGTGCATTGGGCCTAAGGTGGGAGCATGTGTGTCATGCTTGAGGACCAGTAGGAGGCTAGTTTGGCTAAAGTGTTGTGAGCAAGAGGGAACACCGATAGGAGATCAGTTGGTGGGGTAGGTAGAGGGAATCCTCTGTATGTTAAAATAAGGATTTAGAATAATAGCCAAGGTATAATGGGAATCAGTTGGAGAGTTTTGAGCTGTGATGTGACATGATCAGATTTATGTTATATAGGATCATTTAAATAAGGAGTATGGGGATTGAGGTAGATCCTCAATATATGGTAGCTACTGTTACTAAAGAGATTATGAGAGCTTAGTTATAGCAATCTTAGCTCTGCCCTTTCCTAGTCAAAAGTCCTTGGGCAAGTTACCTAACTTCTGCCTCTCAGTTTCCTGATCTGTAAAATAAGGACCTCAGAGGGTAATTGAGAGGGTGAAATAAGTTAACATGTCTATCTTCTAGAACAACTAGAGAAAAAAAATGAAGTAGAGTAAGTGAAAGGTTCCCCCTGCATGATTCTGCAAGATCAGTGCAATTCTAGTTACTCAAGACAGTGTTAAAAATGGTATGGATGATCTCTGTTCGTTTTATAAGTGTATTAATCAGGATTCTCTAGAGGGACAGAGCTAATGGAATATATGGATTGAGCTCTTATGAAGACTTCTTAATGCTTGCTTCTCATTTTATTCCATGTAAGACTTAGAGACAAGTGAAGATATTACATGGCTTATGATAATGACACTAACACACATATAATCCACAGGATCATACAGAATTGGTATTTTCTGGTCCCGGTAATTTGAAAAGTTTAGCCCTTGAAGCAATTGGCTTAATTTAGGATAAAAAATCCTGAGGTTGAAGGATACTTAGATGTCAGTTGAACCAACTTGAGTTTTTAGATTGGTAGAACAGCACCACATTTATCGAAGTTGTCTCAAATTACACAAGAAACTAGTAGAGGAAGGGACCACTAGAACCCTCGTCTCCATTTTGTTTTTCCTACACCTGTTTGGAAGAGATGTCATTGGGAATGAAGCCATTCTTTGCCCAGACTAAGGACCACATTGCTGTTGGTCAGGTTAAAAGTTGGGCAGGGACGAAATGACTGGGTTCTGATTGACTTGCACCCTAGAGCATCTCAAATAATATTTTACATTTTCTTTAATAAAATAAAAATTAAGCTCTTTGAAAACTAAAATGTGATACAAATCTTGGCATTTTATTCATTTTATAAAAGGAGAATCTGAAGTTACTGTGACATCGATAGACCCTAAATTCTTAAGTCTATATTTGAATTATGTAAATGGCACTAATTAAATTTAAAAAATGAATATTGAATTCTCTGAAGCTGGATATGGGATAAAATGTATTCACAGAAGAGCACATTAATTAGAATATGTATTCTTTTTATAAAATCTGAGAAGCTGAATAATCATGGTCATGAAAAATTGGCATTTTGTTATTTCTCTAATGTAATATTCTAAACAGTTTCTGATGAAATGTGAATAGTTTTACTAATTGGATAAGTCTCATGTGCTTTTGTAGCAAACATTGGGGAAAAGTGAAGTTTTCGTAGAGTTAATATCAACCATAATCCTACTATCCAAAGATAACCTTTCATAAAACTTTGTGTGTGTGTTTATTCTTATTACAACAGGGATGTATGTTCACCATAGTAAGTTTAGAAGTGCATATAAATAGCAGAAAATAAAAATCTCAGTTTGAGAACTACTTTAATAAATATACTATAATTTAAAGAAAATGATTCATCTGCTTTTGAACATTTAGAATGTTAGTATACAATATTTTAGTCACATAAATTATACTTTGGTTCTATAAAAATAACTTAGCCATTACATCTTAAAAATAAACATTTTATGTCTTGATTTCTCATATTCAGAAAATTTCAAGAGGACTGTTAACAGTTTCAATTTGCAGAGGGTTTAATGAACTGAGACTTGCTGAACATCCCTGAGTTTGGGGTTGGGGAGTTTGGGGTCGGAAGGAGGAATGAGCAACAGCCAGATTGCAGAGGCTATAGAAGTTAGGGAAGAAAGACAGCACACATAGAACACTTGTTTGTGCCTTGTGTCTATGGAAGGCAGATGAAATACGGGAATAGCTTGGCGTAAGGATCAGAAGAATTTGGGCATCAAGTTCAAAGAAAAGTTATTTTGATGATAAATGGAGATTTTAAAAATTTTTAGTAATTGAGGAAGGAAATAGTTGAGAAACAAAGAAATTCTTGATGCTCTGAGGTAGTCCTAGTATCTCCATTTCAGCCTTAGTTTAAAGACATAATTCACTTAGAGATTTCTGATCCCTCTGTGGATACCAGGATCATTTATAATCACTAGGCATTAATTCAGCAAGTATTTACCAAGCAACTTCTAGCCTGAGTGCTGGAGAGACAACTATACTTCATAGACAACATAAATAAGACATAGTTCCTTCTAGACCTAATAAATGAAGATTGTACTGGTAGAACAAGAACCCCTTTTTTTAACCTTAGAAGTCACCTTGGAAGCACCCGTGCCAGTTCTGGAATAAGTCACTTTAGTGTGCCTTTTTTTTTTTTTTTTTTTTAAAGTAAGAGATATGGTTTTTGGAGTTATCTGGTCCTGGATTTGAATTCTTACTCTGTAATGTATAAGTTATTTATTTACTTGTTCTTGAGCAAGCTGAGCATAATAAATACCTACATATTTAGGGTTGCTGTAAGATTAAGTGGATAATGAATGTACAATGTGA